CAGCGATGGGTAATTCCGCACGATCGCGTGCATCGCACTTCGCACCTGCCCCAGACTCGCGTGAATGCCGTCGTCAACGACCAACATCTTCATGCTCCTCATCACGACTGGGGTCCGTGAAAGCGTCGCGACGACCGTCCACGTGCAGGCGCTGCAACGACCCCAACGCGGATGCGCCCAGCATCGCGGTCGTCCGCTCGTCCACGTGACTGAATCCGAGTCGCAACTCTTCGAGCGATCCGAGTTCCCCTACGATCCTGCAAAAGTATTCCGATCCCAACGCCGACGACGGTATCGCCAGCTCCCCCAGATTCACCAGCTCCCCGATCAGCTCGTGCATCAAGTCGTCCGTCACGCCGTCGAGGCCGTACGCCGAGTAAAGTCGAAGCGAGCGGAGGGTGGATATTCGGTGATAGAGGGCCACGATCGGCAGGACGGGGTCGAACTCTTCTTCGTCAACGCCGGCCGGCAAAAGCGTTCCGTGATGCATCAAGTACGTCGCATTGTAAGGCGTGAGCGGGCCGTTGTTACAAGGTGGACGCAGCGAGTCGGGGACTGGCGAGGATCGCGGGTTGGCAGCCGATCAAGTCGTCTGGCTCCTTGGTCCACCAAGTGAGTCGAGTGAGCTGCGGGAACAGGGCGCTATGGTCGACGCGGCACTGAAGATCGCCCTCGCAGCCCAACCCGATCCCTTGCTCGAAGAAACCCCGGGCGAACGGACCGGGTGCATAGTCGACGTCGATGGAAAACAGTCGCACTTCCAACACTTGAACTCGTTGGCAATAGTAGAGCAAGCGACTCCAGTCTTCGGGGTCCGGCGATCTGGCGAATGTCTTCCCGTCGCCAGTCAGTTCCCTTCCAGCTCTGGTTGTATTAATTGCTTACATAAACACCATCGCCCTCCTCGATGACCCCTCTCGTCAACCAGATCCACACGAGCCGTCGAAAGTCTTGCTCACGTCTCCACCGCAAATCCAACGCAGTCTCGGCAAACGTCTTGCAACAGGCGGCAAGTGCGACGAAGATCTCTTCCTGGCCGATCAGGTCGTCGAAGATGATCGCTTGCAGAGGGATGGACGACAAAACCTGCCACGATGCTCGGGTCATTGCTGAAAAGATTGGGGATTCGGATGTAAAAGTTGTTAGTGATTCGTCTCCATAAAATGGGCCGCATGTAATGACGACCTCCCCTCGAAAGACGCGAAAAAAGGACCGAGGATCGAGCCGAATCACACGCAAGCCTCATAAGCTCTTCTGCACGACACGTCTCGTCCGATCACAGCATCATCGAGGGAGACGCATTTAAAATCAAACCAGACACCGGCCTCGGCCCCGTTTATTGAAATGACCAAGAGGAAATCGGCCGACGCACCTCGCTTCTACTTACTGAACCTGGGCTTTCAGACTCCGACCCACCACCACCTTTGCACCACCTTTTTTTGGAATATAAATACTCGTTCCCCCCACTGAATCCTCCTTGTCCCCCCTCCCCCTCCCCCGCCCTTCCCTCTCTCCCCTCTTCTCGGACCGGCCTAACCTCTCCTCTGCTCGCCCGTCCACTCGTAACTCGCACCATGGCACCACCCCCGCCACCACCCTCCAAAACCAAGAAACGTACCGCTAAATCCACTTATGCCCAGCGTCTCTCGATTCGCATCGAAAACGACTCCGACGCCTTCGAACAGTCTGTCCAAGAGTCTATGGACGACTTTTTTGACGACAAATCCTTCTGGGAGACTATGGGTGACTCCGCTCAGGCCAAGCTTCTCCGGATGATGGAGGATTGGAAAGCCTTCATCGAAACCCGCCCCGTCGACGAAGGTCATCGCTTCGCCCCAAAAACATTTTATCGGTGCTCTTACCCGTTTATTGAAAGCAAAGTGAGATACATCCAACTCTTCTCTCTCATCTTCGCCCCCGTCTGACTCGATTGTCTCGCCAAAAGGTCATCGACACACTTGGAAAGCGAAATCCCGACCGGGTTCATTGGTCAACGCTCGAGCAATGGTTAACTTACCTCGTCAAGCCGATCCACAACTTTTGTACCGAAACCGTCAATGACAGAGACATTTGTTACGGGGCAAAGCTCCTTCGAGAAGGCTTGGAACCTAGCGATACCGGCCTTTGGCTACTTTTTGCTCGTACTGGGCAACGATGTACGTGTCCATTCTCCTCCCTAAAGGTTTTCCCTTCACCTAACAACTCCCCCCTCCCCTCGTCTCGATCCTTCATCTCAGTATTCAAAAAGTACGCGCTAGCAAGATGGCGACAGAAGAAAACATACTGGACCCGTTATGAACTCGCTATGCTCGTCGACGCGACCTTGAACACGTCGGCTTCTATGGAAGTCGCGCTCCAGCAAGTCCTCCTCCTCACGCTCTCCTTTCTGACCAGCGCGCGCGTAGGAGCGTTTGGCTATTCATACGACAACTGGAAGGAGCAGGGAAAGGTACATCTCGATGCGGATCTCTCGGGCCACGCTCCACCTTTTCGTTCCTGACACCGCTCTCTTTCTATAATCTAGTACCTGCAACTCGGAGATGTCGCCGTCTTCAGGGATCTCGTTGTCCCTGGACAGTTCCAAATGACCGTAACGATCAAGAACCTCAAGGTTATTATCGAGCTCTCTCCCCGCATCGCCTAGACCACTCACTGAACCCGGTTGCAATTTGATAGGGCTACAATGGCTCCAAGGGATCGGTACCGCTCGTCATACATCTCGGCGCCCTTCAAAACCCGTGGAAGTTGTTTATGGAGCCCGCACCCGTTTTCCTCGCCCTCCTCCTACATCGCAAGCAACTCCGAGACCACACCGTGCGCATTTCTTTCCTCTTAGAAAAAGGCGCTCCCTGTTCTAACTTTCCTCTCTGTTTTCCTCCCTTCCCCTAGACTCTCGAGAGTTTGCTTACAGGGAGGGAACACCAAATCCGCTACGTCGACAATGAAGAGCCCCTGTGAGCGCTTTCTCTCCCCCGCTCACGCTCATGGCAAGACTCACCACCCTCTCGTTTTTCCTCTTAATTCCTATGCCTGCACTTCCGGCGGTTACAGCGTCCAACGAGGTACGCCAACCAGGGCAGGAGACCTTT